TCCTTGTCACAAGATGGCAGGCAGAAAACCCTGAGAAATCAGATACTAAAGAGAAGAAACCTGAAGGCAAGAAGGCTGATGCCACTGGCACTGGTAAGAAGGGTAATGTGAAAGTTAAGAGTCCAGGGAGGGGAAGCCCAGCTGCAATTCAAACCCAGCCCTGGTTAGAAGAATTGGCAGACACTCTTGATCTGCTATGTGTTCCAGAAAGGCTTTGTACAGGAGAAAATACACAGCTGCTAAATCCAAGGCTGAGGAGAAAAGTAAGGAAAAGGTTCTTGCCTCTGTTACAAAATCAGTTCGTGGTGTCAAGAATGGTGGCATGCAGGTGGTTAAGCTTTAGAAAACACCTACATACTACCGGACCGAAGATGTGTCCCAAAAGCTGTTGAGCCACAGCAAAAAATCCTTCAGCACGTGAGGAAACTGCAAGCCAGCATCACTCCCAGGACCATCTTGATCAGCCCCACATTAGGCACCAAATAGAGACAGCCCTTCCCAGTCCTTCTCTCCATCTGGGAATCCTATATTCATAATTCCAAAAGAAAGTTATTGGGGTTCCAGTGAGTTAATTCCAATCTACCAGTTCCAGTGCAGCCCAAGATGAGAGTAAAGACACTGAGACATTTATTGTTATAGGGAGCCTAGGGGTCCTAAAGCCAGCCAGGATGAGGGTTCACCACAACAAAGGCCATGACTCAGGGCCCACTCCAGGTTTTATTAATTCTCCATGAGGGGAGTGGCTCGGGGATGAGTGACAATGAGAGTGGCAGGAAGTGCCCTGAGTCCCCTGAGCTGGGCTAGGTAGGAGGACTGAGATCACCTCTGCCATATGCAGAGAGTAATTTGCATAACACAATTGAGGTAGTATCTAGTGTTTTGGGGTTGGTACTTCAGCTCTGGTGGATAATCTACTTTGCCCTGGAAGTCAGAGCTTCTTATCTCAAGGCTTGATCCCAGCTGACAGTGTGGAATAGTGATTCTTCCTCCTGCATGGCTCAGTCATGTTTTTTTGGGAGTCATGGGGCCTGGACTCCCAAATGTTTGCCTTACTTCAAACATTACAGATGGGTTCTTCAGCCAGCCCTATTTACACTGCTTAGAGCCAACCGAACACATAAAGAAATGGCCCAGCCAGCTCTGTACACTTCTGTACATGGAGACACGGCCAAGTTTAGTCACAATGGAGACAATCGCTTCTTCTCCACAGGGAGACATCCAGACCCAAACCACTACACAAAGCCCAAACTATTTGTTCTCTGACTCCTTACAGTAAAAAAAGTAAATCCCTCCCCACTGTGTCCCCCAAGCCTGCAGGCCCCTCCCAAGGCCATCACTTTGATACAGAAGCACAAAGATACCCACACACATACCCCTTTCACATGGTAGTTAGCATATTATTTTTGGGACAGGGTCTTGCAACTATGTAGCCCAAGCTGGCCTAGAGCTCGCAGTGAGTGCTGGGATTAACAGACATGCAATACCATGACCAACTTGGTGATAGTGTTATTATCAGTAATCATTTTTCAGCTGTGTACCAGTACTTGGGTGGACCTTATTTCTTTTCTTTGTTTCTGTAGTAGCTTAAACCCAGGAGCGCAGAACTACATCCAAGCCCTTTTTATTTTTGAGATGAGGGATATAACTAGTCAGTTTTACACAGGAGGAAACTGTGGCACAAAAATTTAAGTAACTAGAGTGGGGTGTGTGTGCAAGAAGCTGATCCCAGAGTTATGATGTTTTTTGGTGGGAGGAGGAATGGATTGAACCCATGGCCTTTCCACTGAGCAGAATCCCATACCTTTTTATTTTTACCTGAAACAGGGTCTTACTAATTCATTAAATTGCCCAGGCTATTTCAAATTTTTAACCCTTCTGTCTCAGCCTCCCAGAGCGCTGGCTCACAGGTGTGTGCTACAACACTGATTGGGAGCTACACCCTTAATCCTTTGCTATCCATTTTAGAGTTTGTTACTTTTCCTCCAATGCTACCTGCTACTGGCTGCTTTTTTTTTTTTTTGTCTTTTTCCTTTTTCATCGGTACCGGGATCGAACTCACGACTGCCTGATTGCAAGGCAAGGCGCTTATGCCGCTGAGCTAAGTCTCCAGCCCCTTATTGGCTGCTGTTTTAGTGCTCCATTTCATCATGCTTTGATGGGGCTTTTCTTTTAGCACAGCTTTATGCTTCCAAGTTAAAAAAGGAAACCTATCTCGATGTGGGTGTACAATATCTTGGCATTTAAAGATCTTGCAAGATGCTCTCATGGAGCCAGCACCACATATTTACCAGTCCTGGGTAATGGTGGGAATAAATGAATAGATGAGAGTCACTTTGGGACTGTGCTCTCGATTGTACTCCTGGCTCCCCCCCCCGCCCCCCGCTGAGTCTATCTGCAGGTACTGGAGGACAAAGCCAAGGTGACAACCTTTTACTCCCACTGTCAGTCCTAGTGACTGGGGAGAAGCTTCCTGTTGTGAGAAAAGGGTAATGAAAAAGGGGAACTAGCTGACCAGGGTTCACGGTGGTTTATGTCACCTGTAATTTAAGACCTCGGGGGAGGGCCCACAGCTCTGGCCTTCAAATCGCCCACCTGTCCCTAAGAGACGTTAACCAAGAAGAGGGTCTAGGAGCTCCCTTCCAGCTGGACAGTCTAGGCTTCGGTACAGCAGGTGAAGGCTGCTGCTTATGCAGTGGGGAGTGCCGAGAAGCAAGCACAGTGTGCGTAGCACGCCTGTGACCTGACGTCTGAAGATGACTTAGCAGAATCTTTCCATAAACAGAAAGCTTTGGTGCATTCCCCCCCCCCCTCGCCCCGTTCCCAGAAACTGCCATTGCACTGAGGTTCCTGAGCCTTGCAGAAGCTGCCTGGGAACCAAGTTTATGCACTTCTGGCAACTGAGTTGGATCGGTGGGCAAATGCGGTGTTGGGCAAAGACCAGCAGTGGGATCCACAGAGACACAGCCAGCTGTGCGATGCAGGGCAGCAAATGCCTCGGCATAGTGCTGACTGCGGGATGACGAATTATTATCAAGGGGGACTGGACACAGAACACAGACAGGCCCCTGGTGGGAGCCAAGCCTTAACCCAGCCTGTGGGCCTGCTTGGCCTGGAGCCAGTGTTGGGGGGAATCCGGCCAGGGGAACTGTCTAACTCATAGTTTGCAAGGTCCTGTTGAGAAATCAGCAGCATGTCTGGCTTGTCCGAGAAGGTGCCCTGCAAACATACCTAAACCACTGGGGGAGAGCCTTACACTGGCACCCAGGTCTCAGTCCCCCACCCCAGCTGCTCCACCTCAGGCAGATGGTATGGTCAGGAGGAGATGACAAGGCCAGGCCACCTTCCTTTGGCTAGGAATCAGCAGCAGCTGGGGCTTGGAGATTGAAAATGTATGTGGAGAGAGGAAGTAGGAGACACACCTACCTGACAGAGAAAGAATCTCTTGCACAAATAACTCTTGTTTCCCACAGGGCATTTGTCATCTCCAGTTTGGGTCACTCTGTATACCCCGTTTCCAGTGTGTCTTAAATTTGGGTCTTGATCAGAGCCATCTGGGGCTCCAGGCTCCCAAGAATCCCGAGTAGCTCTACAGCCTTACTGGGGCTGGGATCATCACTGTACCCTCCCTGGAGCTGCGGTGTGAGCAAGAAATCTTGTTTAGTCCCCCACACCCTGCTGTACCGTGTTTTCTAGGATGCAGACCCACTTGACTCCCTGGTTCTCTGACTTCCGATTCCTGGCAGGAAATCAGGTTGTGCAGTTAGAGAGAAGCCCAGGAGGGAGGCAGACTGGGCGGAGCCTAACCGAGTGTAGATCAGCCAATGGCAAGCCAGGTAGGAAAAACTTGGAGGACCCTGAGTAGAAGTGTCACTGCCTTTACTCCCTGTGGACTGTCCCGGGGGAGGCTGTGTGGGTTGGCCCGCCTCAGGCAGCCCTTGCCTGCTCGCTTGAGCTGCCTGCTCTCACTCTGCCTGTCAAGGTCAAGGGATGCTAATAGCACTCTGCTGTTGCTTATCTTGGGGCACTGCACCCGTTCTCAGGACTGTCACCAAATCCTCCCTGCGCTTTTGTTAAAGGTCCTTTTATTTAACTGTTACTGAGCTTGAGCAAACTCCTTGCCCAGCCTGACTGTGTTATCAAGTAAGTTCCAGCAACACCTTGATCCGCTCAGGAGTCATTCTGAAATCTATCTTAATTTGTTTTTCCTGGAACTGGGGATTGAACTCATACTTGCCACTGAGCTACATATTCAGACTGTTACAAGTGTTATTTTGAGACAGGGTCTTGGTATGTAACCCAGGTGGTCTCAATCTGTGACCCTCCTGACTCAGCCTCCTAAGGACTGGGATTACACATGTGTGCTTCCAGGCCTGGCATCAATTTGTCTTTTAAGTAAGGAGCTCGTTTTAAGCATAGAGAACTTTCAGAATTGCTGCTCTATGGCCACAGTGCTGCTTAGTCCTTTTGTGGTCTACTGCCAACCGGTTGCCTTTATTGCTTAACTCATTTGAGAATTCGGTGGCTTTAAAAAAGAAAACCTGGGGGGGGGGACCCTGATCTTCTTGTTCACTGAGCGACTATAAGACATAGCAGTGGGTGTACCTGCACAGCCAGGGCTCCTCATGTGTAAGGAGGGTTACTCTCACGACAGCTTGGTGAGTCCCACCCATATCCGATACTCGGCATCTTCATTGTTGGAAAAATCCAGCCCTGAACAAATGATTGCAAATGTGCAAACTGATCGGGAATATTACTTCACTCTTCAGTTCTCCTTGCACTAACACTTATCAGCTGCTCAGTGTGTCCCCCGCCAGCCTCAAAGACATCTTTAAAAGCATTTATAAAGCCACGTGTATTATAGCGATTTCTAAACCAAAGTGTAAGACATTTTACCACAATGCTGTTCTACTTTCCCTTTCGTTCAACGTTGTTCTGGAAGATCTTTTCATGTCCATTCATAAAACTCTTTTCTTAATTTTTTTTTTTGTGTGTGTGTGCAGGGAATGGAAGCCAGCGTGGAGCCTGGAGCTGGCAGGACAACCTGGAAGAATGATGGGTTGCAGGGCAGAATGGCAATGACCGATTGCAGTCCCCTGGGATACGCTGGAACCTGTACGGGTCCAAGTTCGGGGCAAGCATGGCCAGCAGGGGCCAGACCCTGCAGCTCGAGGAAAACACGCATCTTAGTGCTACATGGTGGGAGCTGGGATTCATTGTATTGTTCTATTCTGTAGCCTATAGGTGTAAATATTCTGCAGCTGCTAGAATGTATTATGTTATTAGTCATTAAAAAAAGAGAAAACAACTTAGAGAAAGTAATCAGAAGGACAAAGAGTTGGATCATTTGTAGGAATTAGTGCAAGGAAGTGAGTCCAAGCTTTTTACATCCTGTAGTTTGGGAGATCAGCTCATAACTCAGAAGATGTTACCATCCCTGCCTGCTAGGAGAGTGAATGGATAACATCTTTACGTTCTGCCTACTTTAGGTACCCACTCTCTGATCTGGAAAAGCTGTCTTACAGAAATACCCACATAGGGGCCACATGGGCGTGGAATTTTTGCTACAGCATTATTTGTAAAAGCCTAAGCTTTGGAAATGTCCATAGGGGGTTTATATAAATTATGATGCACCATCCACACCACAGGCACACAATACAGAGATTTAGAAGCACAGTTAAAAACACCAAGTTAAAGATGCTGGAAGAGAGGCCTGAGTTTTGTGAGTCCATCCATTGAAGGTCCCAGAGAAGGCAAACCTATGGGGATAGAATGCAGACAGTGGTTCCCAGGGCCAGGAGTGAGGCTGGGACTGACTGTGATTAGCCCCAGGGGTCTTTTGAAGTAAAGGATCTAAATCTGGATTACAGTGATATTTGTAAAACTCCATAAATGTAATAAAAATCATTGGCTTGTGCTAGAGTTTGAACATCTGATCAAAATTCATGTTGAAATGTATTTGTCATTAAATAAAAGAAGATAATAAAAGAACATAGGGAAACGTAGGGAAATAGATCTTTTGCAGTAAGGATGGTGACCAAGACCTGGAGGGGGAAGAGGAGAGAAAGGGAATGAAAAGAGAATTAAAATGTGTTATGTACCATCATGTACTGAGAACGTGTACTAATAAAATATAAAAATTGAGGAAAAAAGAAAAAATGCCCTATTATAAAGGTACTAAGATCTGGGGCCTTTAAGGAGTACAGTTCAGCATGGATTAATCCCACTATGTCAGGAGTTGGTTAGTTACGCTGGAAGTGTTTTTTTTTTTTTTTTAATCAGTACTGGGATTGAACCACGTGCTTGCAAGGCAGGTGCTTATGCCACTGAGCTAAATCCCCAGCCCTATGCCCAAGTTTTAAAAAAGGACCAGCTTAGCCAGTTGTGGTGCCACATGTCTGTGATCCCAGCATCCGGGAGGCTGAGGCAGAAGGTTTGACATGAGTTCAAGGTTAGCCTGGTCTCCATACCTGTTTCAAAACACAAAACAAAATGAAACCCCAAAATAGATGGGTTTAGGCCAGTCCCTCATCCCTTCTCTCTTTTTCCCTTCAATGCTGGAGATCAAACCAAGGGCTTTGCACATGCTATGCAAACTCTCTGTCACTGAGCTATGCCTCAGCTCCTTACTTTACTTTACTTTGAGAGACAATCTTGCTAAATTGCCCGGGCTAGCCTTGAACTCACTACCTGACTGCCTCAGCCTTCCCCAGAGTTAGGATTTCAGGTGTGGCCACTGTGCCCGGCCTCTTTTGCATATGCTCACTTGCTCGTCCTACATTTTTTTGCCACCACACAAAGATCCTTTCAGATAGCAGTGCTGGACTTCCCAGCTTCCAGAATTACAAGCCATGTAACCTTCTATTGTTTATAGATCATGCAATCTATGGTATTCAGTTATAGCAGCAGAAAGTGAGCTGAGACAGTTTGTTACTTAAAACAGATGGTGAATCTTAGAGTCAGTGAATTATATCTCAGTAAAGCTGTGTACAAAAATAATTAGCAAGCAATGAAATAAAGCAAGGAGGGTAATTCACTGGGCATGCTTAGCCTGTGCAAGGCCCTGGCTTCCGTCCCCTGCACTGTCCCCACCAAAAAAAGGTAAGACTTAGAAAAGAGTTTTAGAAGAAAAGAGTTTTAAAATCAACAGCGTGAAACAGCCTGTCTCAGTGGCTCCCACAATGGCACAGGGTAGGATTCCTGCCACAGACCTCTCCCTCCCGCTCGTGGCACTGTGACTTGGGTTGACCCCTGACTGAACATCGGTAACTTCAAGAGAGAAGTTGGATTTGCTTGTCTATGAATTTTCTGTTGTGCTTGAAGATCTCCTTAATCATCCCCTTGCCAGGTCAGAGCAGGGGACGCAGCCTGAGCCTGCTGCTGCCACATCTGTGTCCCTAAGCCTCAGCTGGTCCTTACCAGCTGAGTGGAACCCCAACACCCTCAGGTCTAGGTACTGATGAGTATAGGTGCAGAAAACATAGACAGTGCTACCCACATGACTGCAATTTATAATTCCCCACCAACCCTGTCTGGTGCCTGAACTGTCACTGCCACAAAAGCAAAAGTGATTTAAAAAATGAGCCAAACTAGGAATTTTTATTTCAACTGTCCCACTCTGCAGTCATGAGGTTTTGGTCAGGGTGCTTTGCTCGGGTCTCTGTTTCCTTCCTCATGTAGTGAGAGAGTTGGCCTGGGCATCCTCAGGCCTCCCAACTCTGCTGCTGCATGGCGATGGGACTGCCCTGCAGTCTGTAGGCCCTGAGTTTGAATACGACAGGTAAATTAGTGGCGCTTCTCAATTAATGTCCCCCTCACATAGAGTGGAGTTGGTCTTGGTTTGCAGAACAGGCTCATCCAGCGGAGACTGTGGATTGTGGCAGGCAGGCATCATAAACTGGGGGTGGGGAGTGTGACAGATAAAAGGATGGGTGATGTTGGTGTGAATAGAAGAACAAATCTCGGAAGCAAGAAGGACTGGAGAGCGGCAGATCTGGCGGAGAGCGCTGATCCTTAGGCCGTGGGACTGAGCTTTGGGTCTGGAATGTGGGAGAGAAACAGGAGTCAGCAACTCAAAGGCTGCTTGGGTTAGCCCTGACCCGGTGCTGGAAACTCTTCATGCCAGGACAGGGGAGAAGGGGGGTGGAGGGAAAGGCAGAGAGAGAGAGAGAGACAGAGACAGAGACAGAGAGACAGAGAGAGACAGAGACAGAGGCAGAGAGAGAAAGAGAGACAGAGACAGAGAGAGACCAGAGTTCACTTCTGTGCTCTTCCAAGTTCCATTTGAGCCTTGCTGGTCCCAGGCTCACTGTATAGCCTCCTTTCTCCCTGAGAACCTCATTTCCTCCAGGCCTTGTTCGAGGAGCAAAGAGTAGAGTCCTGGAATAGGATCGAGGCTTATTTGGCCTCCTCCCTCTAAGAGTCACCCAGGGAGTCACCTGCCTGTGGGTCTCACCCAGGCAGCACCCTGCTGGTCTTTCTGGTCTCTCCAGAGTGTTGGGTAAATACTGGTCCTTCTGCATTTTCCCCCTGCTGAATTGGAGGAGCAGGAGCAACTGAGTCATACTTAATTGTGAATTTAGTGAAGTCCCTGGCAGAGGATGAGTAGGGAACAAGGGCTGGCTGGCGGGGGATTGATCCTGCTTGCTGAGCACGATGGGAAAAGCACTTTGCAGAGCTGTGAGTGGAAGTTCCTTCCCCTCGAGCAGGGGCAGGGCTTCTCCTGCCTCCCCACTGGCTCATGCAGCGGTGAGATTGGGGTGGTTTGGTAACTGGGGGTGTTACCTCTCTCTTGGCTTCTTACTACCTTAGCAAAGCCCCCTGCTATCCCCAATCCCTGTGAGCATGAGCTTGGCCAGGGCAGGGCTCTGGCTGGCTCTCTCTGTCTGTTGGGTGCTGCTATATCCCAGCCTTCAGGGACAGCTGGCCCTCAACACCTATTGAAGCAGTGATTCAAATCCCTTGCTGCCTCCGACTGATTACAGGTCATTTCCCATCTCCTCACCTGCCTGCTGTCTTGCCGTGGATTCAGCGATGGGCATGTGTGTGTCACGCACTCAGTGGGAGCTGCTCTTTGAGGTCAGGAGGCCTTCCTGCCCTCTGGGTTCCCGATCAGGCTGATCGATGACCCTCCTGCCCTGCTACCTCTTCTAAACCCACCAGGATGCTCCTGACTACTGGTTGACCCACAGACCTGAGGAGAAGCTCAGGGCCCCAACACATTTTCCCCACAATCCATGCTCAGCAGTGGGGTCTTGGGGCGGGGCGCATGAGGAGTGGAAAGGCAGGTCTCCATCTCCACCCCAACCATCTCTCTGTGGACCCAGGAACAAGCAAAGGGACTTACTTCCTGCAAGACCCTCACTTTAGGACCTCTTCTCACCCTACCTTACCTCTCAGTAGCAGTTGGAGTGTTTTTGGTAGAAGTAATGAAATAAATACCCAACTAAAACTGGTTTATTAAAAAAATATTTAATGATATTGCTTTACAAGAAATTGCAGGTAGGCGGTAAAAGTGTCTTTTGGGCTCAGATTTTTTTAAAATTGAGGTTAAATACAAACATTTACTGTATTTATTTTATCTTTTGAGGTGCTGGGGATAGAATCCAGGGCCATACAAATGTTGGGCAGGAACTCTGCCGCTGAACTGTACCCCAGCCTCTTTTTAACCGTGTTAAGTGAACAGTTTAGGGGCATCCAGTGCTTTCACATTATTGTAAAACTCCCATCCTGTCCACCTCCAGAACTTGTCCATCACTCCAAACTGAAATTCTGCACCCGTTAAACAGTGACCCTTCATTCTCCCCTCCAGGCATTGTTCTCTTTTGTGTCTCAGAACTTGATTATTCTAGCTACTTTGTGTAAGTGCAATTATACAGTATTTTCCTTTAGTAGCCTGCTTCTTTCACTAAGCAAAACATTTCAAGGTTCATCCATGCTGTAACTTGTACCAGTCCCTTCTTTTCATGACCAAGTAACATTCTATCACAATATCTTATCATCCTGTTTCATTTATCCATTCATTTGTCAATCAGCTTTTGGGTTATTTCTGCCTTTATTGTTATAAATAATGCTGTGGTGTAAAAATATTTGTCCAAGTCATCACTTACAATTCTTTTGGTACATGCCTAGAAGTGGAATTGCGGCATCATGTGGTCATTCTGTTGACCGTTTTAAGGAAATCTGCCTTGCTATTTTCCATGGTGGCTGTGCCATCTTCTACTCCCACCAGCTCTGTGGGAGAAAGCCACCAGTTTCTCCCTATCTTGCTGGCATTTTCTATTTTTTCTTTATTTTTCTTCTTTCTGATAATAGCTTCCCCTGGTGGGTATAACATGCTATCTCATTGTGGTTTTGATTTGCATGTCTTAGAAAATAGACTGCTTTGGGCCTAGTGGTAGGATGGACCAAGACTATTAGTCAGCATAGTGATCACAGATAGGTGATCATGAGGCCTGGTGAGCTTGGTGAGCATGAGGCCTCTGATTCTTCCTGAAACCACAATGACGGGGCTGCATCACCATGGATTCCATGAACAGCCAGTGGGTGTGAGGCTTGGAATAGGATGCTGAAGAAAAAAGGAGAAACCCAAGAGGCTACAACTTGGGCAAACCATCTCAGAGGGTGGTGGATGTGTTTCCTGAGGAAGAACCAGCAAAGGAAGGCCGGGCCTCCTTGGGCAAGAATTCCTTGCTGATCAGGCCATAAGCAGCCATGATCTTGAGGAGTCCATAGCGAAACTTTTGGCCGATGAAGGCATAGATAATGGGGTTGAGACAGCTGTGGAGGAAGCCCAGGATCTCAGTGGCCTCCAGGGCCCTGTCTATGTGGTCACGGCGCTCACAAGTCTCCTCGATCAGGCCGGTCCTCATGAGGGTATCAGCGAGCAGGACCAGGTTGTAGGGCAGCCAGCAGAGCAGGAAGACAAGCACGACGGCGAAGATGACCCTCATGGCCCGGTGCTTCTGCCCCATCTGGGCCTTGAACAGCGTGCGCAGCGTGCAGCCGTAGCAGAACAGCATGATGAGCAGGGGCAGGATGAAGCCCCAGAACTGAGGCAGGATGCGCAGCACCAGGCGCCATCGGGTCGTACTGCTCCCTATGTCTTCATAGCAGACTAAGGGGAGGTCGAGCAGGTAGACAGTGCTACGGAACAGTAGCATGGGCAGGGACAGAAACAGAGATACTGCCCACACAGCTAAGCACACAAACTTGACCAAGTGCCGTTTCTGGATCACAGTGCGTGTGGCGTGGACGATGGCCAGGTAGCGGTCCACACTGATGCAGGCCAGTAGCAGGATACTGCTGTAGAAGTTGACTTCCTTCAGGAATGAGATAATCTTGCACATGAATGTGCCAAAAATCCAGCCAATCATCTTGGAGGCTGCCCAGAAGGGCAAGGTCAGGGCAAAGAGCAGGTCAGCTATGGCCAGGTTCAGCAGGTAGACATCAGTGACAGAGCACGTGCTCCTGCTGTGCAAGACGACCATCATCACCAGGGAGTTTCCCAGCAGGCTCAGCAGGGACACCAAGGCATAGATTATAACTACGACATAAGTATTGATTTCCAGGGATTCTGGATAGCACGGGGAAGACTCTGATGAAATTTGGCTCAGATCAGTGCTGTAATGACCGAAATAGTCAGAGGAGTTGTAATCCCAGATAAAGTTTTCCATTTTCAGGTAAGCTTATGTCTTGCCTAAAGAGGAGAGATGAGGGTTACTGCCCAGCAAAATCATGCCCAATTATTATCTGTGCACCCAAGATATTGTACTAGAAGGGATTCTTTGCATCTGTTTATGTATTACATGGAAGTAATTTTTACTTCCAGTTTATAAGGGATGGAAGCAGTAAGATTATGAGACAAAATAGCACATTTTATGAAAAGATGCCAGTGTCAGAGAGACATGATCAGCATTTTCTATAACATCACAATCACCCAAAATATTGGTGAAACTTTCCTGTTTCCTTCCTTTGTTTTTTTTTTCTTCCTTCTTTCCCTCCCTCTCTCTTTCTTCTTTTCTATTGTGTTTATTTATTTGGTATCCTGGGGATTGAACCCAGGACTTTGAACTGAGCTATAGTCCATCACCAGCCGTTTTAATTTTTCAAATTATATATAACATATATATGATAAGATAGTTATACTACTAATTGTTATTAGTTCACAGAAAAGAGATTTGTTTGATCCATTTTTCATGCCTGTACCTTGTAATATAAGCAACTACTTTGAAGATAACAACATGCAATGTACTAACCATTGTTTCTCTCCTACAATCTTGTTTTGAAATTTTGTGGCATTGTTTTTATCTTTTTTTCTCTTGAAAATAAAAAAAATTGGGGGGGGCGGTCAGGGTCTCATTAAGTCATTAAGGTGCCCAGGTTGGGTTTGAACTCACAATTTTTCTCACTCAGCCTCCCAAAATGCTGGGATTTCAGGCATCTGAAGGAACCACCATACCTGGCTCTTGCTGTTTCTTTCTGAGAGTTATGTCTATCCTACGACTATATTCAAACCCAGGACCCATCCCCAGATGAAACCTAGTGTTCGAGAAGAAACAGCAAGTGAAAAGCCCTAGGAACCATTTTTGAAAGACGGGTGATGAGGATGTGGAGGAACTGGAGCACTCCGCCCTCACTGGTGGGAATGCAAATAGTGCGATTCTGGCAAAGGGTTTAGCGTTTGCTCAAGAAGTTAAACCACGTTACCCAGAGATTCCTATCCTAGGTGTATGCACATTAGAGAACTGAAAATGTATATTCACACAAAAACTTGTGCACAAATGTTTATAGCAGTATTTATCATAATAGTCAAAAAATAGTAGGAAAAAAGCAAATGTTCATTAATTGATGGATGGATAATTTGAGATCTATACATCCAATGGAATATATTCACCTCTAAGAAGGAATAAAACGCCACATAGATCTTAAAAGCATTATTGTGTAAAATGGTCAAAACAGGCAAATTAGACAAAGAGTATATTAGTACTTGCCAGGGGCTAGCGACGGAGAGGAGCCTTAAAGAATACAGGATTTCCCCTGGGGTGATGAATGTGTTTGGAATTAGTGACAATGGTTACACAGTCTGCTAAAGTGTCACTGAATTGTCATTTTATGTGAGTAATTTTGTGGTGTATCTCAGTTAAAAAAAGATTAACCAAAGGATGAATAGTGTAGTAGAGAAAATACAAATATTAAAACAACAACAGCAAAAGTCCTCGGAAGCTTTTCTCTTGAGTAGGTTGCAGTATTTGGTACTGTCTTTCATATGTTCAAAACAGAAACCTGAGTGGATTTAAGAGAAACTGGAAAAATAATACCGTTCCCCCTAAGAGTGATGAAATCTTAACTTTTACTGTCCTGAGCAGGTATTTTCCCTGCAAGCAGTGGGGCTCAAATAAATTGTCTTCCCACTGTACCACGGCCACGGGGAGTGAAGATTCAATCAGGGAAGCGTGTGATGGGGAGGGTGGGCCCCCACGAGGAAGGGAGGCCATGGGAGGAGCAGGAGTCTAGCTGGCTGAGCCGGTGTGATGGGCACAGCCTGAAAGGAGTCGCTGGCTCTGCAGTCTCACAGACAGGAGCAAGTTTGCCCAGAGAGCAAGGTTCAGTGCAGGGAAGTCACGAGGTTGAAGATGGGTCACCTCTAACAGCAGATGATCAGGGATGCTCATAAAGGAACAGGTGGCCTAAGATAAGACCTAGCTTTCAGAGTGAATGCAGAGCCGGGGGATGGGTGGAGGGCTTAAAAAGCAGACCATTGGTTAAGAGCATCAGCAGTGGGCAGCAGGTCCCCAGGTAAGTCCTTGCTCCAGATAGCTGAGCTTGGCTGGGCTTGGAAAGGCAGGGGGCTGGCTGCAGGGGTCTGGGTGAACTCATGCTCCCCGGTCTCCACGGTCAGCTTGAGGTTCCTGGGGGAGACCATGAAGTCAGGACAGAAGGTCAGAAACTCAGAATACAAACCCGGGCAGGACCATGACCCCCAGCCTGGGGTGGGGAAAGTCGTTGTTGGTGTCGATGGGGTTTTAATTTACCATTCTCCAAAGGCATGAGTTGAAGAATAAAAGGGCAAAATAAGGGCAGGGGGACTGTACAAGCCGAGGGCTGTTTTGTGCCTTGCCAGTAAATAATCCCCTCTGGTCCTTAAGACAGCTGTGATTAGCCCGTTTGCAGGTGGCAAGGCCAAAGCACAGAGAGGCTCTGCCCGCAGCCAGTGACCACAGAATCTGTCACAGCGCAGCTGTCACTTGGAGGAAAACATAAGGAAACCCTCTAGCTCTGCTTATTTTTAGTTTATCTTAAAAACCCAGGAAGGCAGTGCTCTTGTAGATAGGAAGGGGACCTAGGGATTGAAGAGAAGGAGAAGTAACACGGCCTAAAATATGACCGGCACGTGTACTACCTTCCCACAGTGAATGCATTTATTATGCACCACAAACATGTATGAATAAAAATGAGAATGAAAGTAAAAATCACTAGTTTTAGAGTTGACACAGCTAAGCAATGCACTGTTCACCTCCCACTAGCACTGCTGCAAGTGACACTGCTGACTGAATTCACGTCCTGGGTTAAAACTGTTCTTCTGAGAAAAGCTGCATGTACTCTCTTATCTGGGGACAGCTGTTTTTTGGTCACCTTTCACATACTCTAAGAAAAGATGACTTTTGAGTCCTAATGGTTAACTTCAGGATGAACTATTGCCAGGGAAAGGATCATAAGACTTTGCTTCTCTCTCTCCCCCCTCCCTCTTTCTCTCTCTCTCTGTGGTGCTGGGGGTCAAACCCACTGCCTTGTGCATACAAAGCAAGACATCTACCATGGAGCCACCTCTCTGGTCCACTGAGCTGTGTCTCCAGCCCACTGTAAGACTTTCTAATCAGTAATGTTCTTTAGATTTCCAGAATTCCAGGACCTATGGATAACAGGAGGCTATGCAACAGAAAAGCAGGCCATCTAACGCTCGTGACTACCCGGTGTCCTCCTCTCTCTGGTGTACCACCCTCTGAAACCCCTATACCTGTGTCTGAACCCTTTAAACCAAGATGGCCTTGTTTTGGATGAGTCCCCACGCCCACAGCGTGCTGCTTACATCAGTCGAATACCTCCATCAATCTATCTCAACTGGCTTCGTCAGGCAGCAGTGGAAGTGATCTCTCACAGTTCCACAGCCAGGATTCTAACTAGGGGTAAGTGGTACCACTTACATTATTTTTAGCCTATAGTACTGCTTCTAAAAAAATCATAGCTCACCTGTTAAATACATTTTTATGTATTTTTGTTTCTTGCTGAGGATTGGCCCTGCATGCGCTCTGCTGCTGAGCGCTGTCCCCAGCGCCCTATTTTTAAGATAAGTTCTTGACACATAATTGAGTTAGCCCGGGTACAGTTCATTCCTATCACTTGTAATTTTGCACATTGCTATCTTCTGTTACTCTCTAGGCCCAGAATGAAAGAAACAGCCTTTGCCGATTGACTGCTGACCAAACACCGCTGGACAGCGCAGCACCTGCTGACGGGCCTGGTCCTGTTCTCTGTGACTGAGTGTGAGCTTCCTGGCTTTAGTGGAAATTCCAGCCTCTTGGCCACTCACAGTAGTTCAGCAACTCCATGGATAGAAGGAATTCTAATTAGTTAATGCTATGCAAATGTTACAACACGTGGCATTTATAAGATCTCAAACATTTAAGGTGATCTTTTCAATGCCCCCAAAAAATCCAGTCACTTTACTACAAACCCAGAATTCCTGCTGTCTTCAATGTAGCCCACAAGTCTCGCATGGAGGAGAGCAGTCCAAAGTGTCTGCCCATTCTCTGCCCTGGTCCTAACCAAAGCAAGGAAGGCTGACTGGGTCTGAGAAGGTTGCAGGGTCCAGGGCAGGAGGTGACTACAGGTTGCCCTGTGTGGTTGCTGGAAAGGGTTGTAGAAAGTGGGGGGAAATTCTTCCTCTGGGAGTCACAGGGTCTAAAGCAAGGGCATGCAGAAGCCAAGGGGTGAGGAGCCCATCCAGGGAGACAGTAGATGTTCAAGACCAAGCGGGGTTGGGGACAGAGAGACAGAGACAGAGACAGAGGAAAGAGAGAAAGAGAAAGAGAGAGCCTCTGGTGGTGGGAGGGAGGGGGGTTCCAGACTTACCAGGATGCCGGGCTTTTCACCTGTGGAGCACCTCCAGGAGGGTAGCTGCGGCCAATGAAAGGGCACAGTGGTGAGAACTCACTGCAGGAAGTGAGTGGCGGATTAGATTGCTCAATTCAGGGAGGAGCTCCTGAGGGGGCCGGGTGCTTTGGTGTCTTTGAATAATTAACTCCCAAGTTAGTTCTTGGATAAACTGCTGTCTATGGATTTATAGTTTATGTTGGGAGGAAACATGTTGGGTTTTCTAGCCAGTTTTTCCATTTCACAGAGGAGGAAACTGAGACCCAGACAAGTGAAGGACCACAGGGATCTCTCTCGTCTCTGGCTTGATTGTCAACAGCAGGTCTGGCTCTAAGTCTAGTAGCCTCCAGGGGCAGCATCACAACCCTTGGCTGCAGGATTCAGCTTTCAGGTGTGCGTGTGTTTATGTGTGTGTGTGCGTGTGCGCATGCATGTGTGCGTGTGCGTGTGCGTGTGCGAGCTGACTGACAGCAGAGATGGAGCCTGAACTTCTGAGCTGGGCATTTTCCTCCCTGGACCGAGTGAGTTTTGTCTCCCTCAGCTTCAGCGTCTTCAGACCTCACAGACCCTACTCCGCGCTGTCTCACTGAGAATCCTCACTCCCAACGGGGTTCCCTTCCTACCCCTCTTGTGTTTCACCTCACTCGCTCAACCTGTTCTGGCCACAGGCATGGACCTTTGGGTACTGTTGTTCTTTTCCGGTTACACGTTTGACATTGTTTGAGGACCCCAGCACCTTCTCATCTGGAACAAAAAACACCCAAAAATCCTTTTCCTAGCATCGAGGATCCTACCCAAGTGCAAACACATTTTTGAAAATGTATTGAGTGATGCTAAGCATGTATTTTGTCCCATCTGCTATTTGACAAGCTAAAAAGATTAACACAGGCAGAGCCAGGAATACCCTCCTGCTCCTTCCCAACATGCACCCCAGTGAAAAATGCCTCCCCCCACTCCTCCCCCTATCACATTCTGTATCCCTGGGCCCAGAGAGCCCTCAAATCCTGGGACAGACTCACTTAAAGTGGTGCCCCAAGGAAAGGGGCCTTCCCAACTGTTAAACAGACGTTCCTCATGATCTGTCACCTGTTTTCCCTATACCGGAGTACAATGACACCAGACAGCTCAGGCTAAAACCAGGTGGAAGTTCATTACTCCCGGAGAGGCAAATGAGAGAACTAGCTGAGTAACCTGGCAACATCCCTTTCTGAGCCTCAGTTTATTCTTCTGTAAAGTGGGGCCATCAGACTCCAATTCGTTAGGCTGTGGGAATATGAAACGAGGGATTAGCTGGAGAGTACTTAGAGCACACCCTAAGCACAGCGTTAACTTTTATGGTTGTGATCACTGGTAACGAGATAGTTTATTAACAGACAACACGATGTCTCTTGCCCACTATATCCCCAGTCAGGGGAGAGCAGAAAGCCTCCTCACAAGGCTGATGCCCATGTACGTCTTGGTTTGCTTTGACCTGGAGAACAGTAGTCATATTAGTTGCAGTCCTGAGTGCCTAACTTAGTTCTAGTTTCATGAACAACCCCATGAGGCAGGCACTTTTCTAGATGGGGAAATTCAGACTCCAAGAGGTTAAGCAACTTACCTACAGTGACACAGCGGAACTGAGGATTAAAAAGTTTTTTTGGTTTTCGTTTTTGTCTTTTTGAGACAGGGTTTTGCTATGCAGTTCAGGTTGGCCTTGAGCTCAGTTTGTAGCCCAGGCTGGCCTGGAACTCGCAGAGATCCTCCTGCCTCAGCCTCCTGAGTGCTGGGATTACAGGCATGCATCACTATGCCTGGCATAATGGTTTTAAAAATAGTTTTTATCTGTCCCTAAATAAATCCTATCTTTTGTCCACTGTGATGAGGAGTTGGACCAGACTCAGTTTTCCAAGCTCCTTTAGGTGTTTCTCTGTCCCAGAAACCAGAATGCTAGCATGGTGAAGAGGTTACAGATTGGACATTTCCTGACCGCCCCTTCTTGATGGTCCTTAGGTCGATTTCCTTTCTTCTGAGCCCCCTGCATGCATATGTGTGCATAAAGAGAGTGAATAATGTGCTGGGTTCCAGTCCTGCTTTAGCTGCTGATAGCCAGGGTGAGGGTAGATGGGTCATCTCTCTTTGGGCCATAGGGGTCTGTTTTGGAAAATGGGGAAATAGTTCTACCTAGCCACATGTAGTTATTTAAATGTAAATTGATTAAAATAAAATAAAATAAAACTTTAGTTCCTCGATCATAGCCACATGTCCAGTTCTCAGAAGCCACGCATAGCCATGGCTGCAGTATTGATCGGTGCAAACAACAGAACATGTCCTTACTGCACAGAGAGCTTTTGCATAGCACTACCTGGGCAAAGACTCAGTGATTTTAGCTCCAAGTTCTGCCATGCATCACTCAGGATTCCAGGGGTCTCAGAGAAGGACAAAGTTTCCAAGTCACTCCCATCAGGATTATGCCCCCCAGCAGCCCTGCGACAGGTCCGCTCATCTACCTGCTGTTGCTCTATGATGCTGTGGTGATCTCAGTGGCTGCTGATACCCTCGCTGTGACTAAAGGCTT